GTTTTGTTTTTGTTGTTGACTTCAGAGAGGAAGGGGTAGGAAGAGAGAGTTAGAAACATCAATGAGAGAGAATCACTGATTGGCTGCCTCCCGCATGCCCCTCACTGGGGATCGAGCTCGCAACCCAGGCATGTGCCCTTGACCAGAATCAAACCCAGGACCCTTCAGTCTGCAGGCCGATGCTCTATCCACTGAGACAAACCAGCTAGGGCTGTCTTCCCTTCTTATAAGGGCACCCAGTCATCTCGGATTCAGGGCCCACCCTAACCCAATACGACCTCATCCTAACTGATTACACTGACAAAGACCCTATTTCCAAATAAGGCAGCAGTTCTCAACCTGTGGGTCGCGAGCCCTTTGGCGGTCGAATGACCCTTTCACAGGGGTCGCCTAAGACCATCCTGCATATCAGATATTTATATTATGATTCATAACAGTAGCAACATTACAGTTATGAAGTAGCAACGAAAATAATTTTATGGTTGGGTCACAACATGAGGAACTGTATTTAAAGGGCCAGAAGGTTGAGAACCACTGATAAGGTCACAGCCACAGGTACCTGGGGTTAGGACTTCAATATGTCTTTTTGGAGGATCTGCATAGACATTTTTCCAAACAAGACCTACAGAATGCCAACGGGCACATAAAAAAAAAGTATCTGATAAGGTCACAGCCACAGGTACCTGGGGTTAGGACTTCAATATATCTTTTTGGAGGATCTGAATAGACATTTTTCCAAACAAGACATACAGAATGCCAACAGGCACATAAAAAAAAGTACTGAACATCACTAATTATCAGGGAAATGCAAATCAAAACCACAATGAGATATCAACTCACACCTGTCAGAATGGCTATTGTCAAAAGAGCAGGAAACAATGAGGGTTGGCGAGGATGTAGACAAAGGGAACCCTTGTGCACTGTTGGTGGGAATGTAAATTGGTGCAGCCACTATGGAAAACAGTATGGAGCTTCCTCAAAAAAATAAAAATAGAACTACCATATGATCCACCAGTTCCATTTCTGGGAATATATTTAAAGTAAATAAAAACACTATCTCAAAAAGATATCTGCACCCTCATAATCACAGCAGCATTATTTACAATAGCCAAGATATGGAAACAACCTAAGTGTTCATCAGTGGATGAATGGGTAAAGAAATAGAAACTCCAGCCCTGGCTGGTGGTTCAATTAGTTGGAGTGTCATCCTGTACACCAAAAGGCTGAGAGTTCGATACCGGGTTGGGGCACATACTAGAGGCAACCGATTGATGTTTCTTCCCCCCCACCCCCCGCACCTTCCTATCTCCCTAAAATCAATAAAAAACATATCCTCAGGTAAGGAATATATATATATTCCATTATACATAATGGAATATTATTCAGCCATAAAAAAGAAGGAAATCTTGCCATTTGTGACAACATATATCAGTGATTCTCAACCGTGGCTGCACATTAGAATCATCTGGGAATCTTTTTAAAATCCTGATTTCTGGGCCTCATCCTCCAGAAATTCTGTTTCTTTGTTACTAATGTTGTGGCCTCACCCCATAACAAAGAAACAGAATTTCTGGAGGATGAGGCCCAGAAGTCAGGATTTTAAAAAGATTCCCAGGTGATTCTAATGTGCAGCCAAGGTTGAGAACCACTGACATAGATGGAACTTGAGGGCTTTATGCTAACTGATAACACTTGTTACGTCTTGTCTTTTTGATGACAGCCTTCTGACAGGTGTGAGTTGCTAGCTCAGTGTGGTTTTGATTTGTATTTCCCTGATGATCAGTGATGCTGAGCACCTTTTCATGTACCTGTTGGCCATCTTCTTTGTCTTCTTTGGAGAAATGACTGTTCAAATCTTCTGCCCATTTTTCAATTGGATTGTTTGTACTTTTTTAAACATAGATACTAGAATATTGAAAATTATATCTCACGCTATGTTTCTAGTGGATAGAGCTGCTCTAGATTTTTTTAAAAATATATTTTATTGATTTTTTACAGAGAGGAAGGGAGAGGGATAGAGAGTTAGAAACATCGATGAGAGAGAAACATCGATCAGCTGCCTCCTGCACACTCCCCACTGGGGATGTGCCCGCAACCAAGGTACATGCCCTTGACCGGAATCGAACCTGGGACCCTTGAGTCCGCAGGCCGACGCTCTATCCACTGAGCCAAACCGGTTAGGGCTCTAGATTTTTTTATGTGTGGTGAAAATTGTTCATAAAAATAATTTTGTGTGTGGTGAAAATTGTTCATAAAAATAATTTTATATATAATTATTTTATTTAAAAAAATAATTTTATATTTAGAACTTCTGACAGGTGTGAGTTGCTAGCTCAGTGTGGTTTTGATTTGTATTTCCCTGATGATCAGTGATGCTGAGCACCTTTTCATGTACCTGTTGGCCATCTTCTTTGTCTTCTTTGGAGAAATGACTGTTCAAATCTTCTGCCCATTTTTCAATTGGATTGTTTGTACTTTTTTAAACATAGATACTAGAATATTGAAAATTATATCTCACGCTAGATTTTTTTATGTGTGGTGAAAATTGTTCATAAAAATAATTTTGTGTGTGGTGAAAATTGTTCATAAAAATAATTTTATATATAATTATTTTATTTAAAAAAATAATTTTATATTTAGAATAAATATTTTGTTTTTAGTTAACAGATGTCAACCAGACTTATTGTGATGGTCATTTTGCAATATATACAAGTACCAAGTTATTATGTTATACACATAAAACTAACCTTAATTATCAACTAGAGGCCCCGTGCATGAAATTCGTGCACTTGGGGGGTCCCTCAGCCTGGCCTGTGCCCTCTCACAGTCCGGGAGCCCTCGGGATAGGTCCGACTGACGGCTTAGGCCCGCTGGCCTAAAGTAAATAAAATGAAGTTTAGTATCATTTGAAAAAGAAAATAATAATTTTATAAATAGATGTGTTCCTCCTGCTGTTGTATGGATTTGAGGGGTCAGAGGTGGCAGCCAGGAGGCCAGGAACCAGGGAACACTGGTGATGGGGGCTTGACCTGGAAGGGCAGTGGTGGGAATAAGAATGAAAACAAGAGCAGCCCAGCCAGAGTGGCTCATGGTTGAGTGTCGACCTATGAACCAGGAGGTCAGGGTTCGATTCCCAGTCTACCAGGTTGCAGGCTTAATCCTCAGTAGGGTTGTGCAGGAGGCAGCTGATCAATGATTCTTTCTCATCATTGATGTTTCTATATCTCTCTTCCCCTCTGAAATCAACACACACACACTTACAATATAAAAGAAACAAGCAAAAAAGCATTGTGATTAGCAATATAGAAAAAATTTAGTGAAAAAATTTAAAAACTGCACTGTAGGAAATAATCTATATATATAAAAGCCTAAGTGACCATTCAACCATTCGACTGTTTGACCGATGGACTGGTAGCTATGACGTGCACTGACCACCGGGGGGCAGATGTTCCACCTGGTAGGTTAGCTTGATGCTGGGGTCCAGCCAATTGGGACTGGGCAAGACGGGCCGGACATGCCCTGGAGCCCTCCCACGGTCCCTTCCTGGCCTTGATCATGCACCGGTTGGGTCCCTTGGCCTGGCCTGTGCCCTCTTGCAATCTGGGACCATTCGGGGGATGCCCGCAGGCCAGGCCGAGGGACCCCACCGGTGCACGAATCCGTGCACCGGGCCTCTAGTATATATATATATACAATAGCAATAATAACCCACACTAATGTAGTGATGGCTGGTGCTAGGGAGTGTTCTAAGTGTTTTGCGTATTCACTTCCTCCTCCCAACCCCTAGGAAGTAGGCACTACTTGTCCTCATGCCCCATTCGGCAGATGAGGAAAATGAAGCGTAGAGAAGGGAGGTCACTGGTCTGAGATAGCTGGCTGCAGCGTCTCTGCAGACGGCCAGGACTATCATGTTGCTTTTGGGAATATGAGGACAACTGGGACACAGGTTAGGAGGTGGTAAGACAGACCCTGGTAAGAAAGGCAATGGAGGCTGGGGGCGGGCAAGGGCTGGGGCGGAAAAGCCAGTGGTGGGGAAATGCAGGATCAATTCAGGACCAGGAGGACATTCCAGGGGCAACACAGGTGGTGGCTGGGCCTTGGGCTGGGGACGGAGACCCAGGTGGAGAGCTGATGTTGTGGCTGTGCTCATGGAGGAGGCGGGAAGGTCGAGGAATCCAGGGCCCCGCAGTAAAATACCCCCTTCTCAAGGGGAACCAGCTGTGGCCATGGTGGAGGTCAGACACCAGATCAAACAGAAGAGGGTCTGTGGCCCCACCACCCATCTATCCCCTGTGAGGCAACAAGTTCTCTTTCCATTTCACAGGTTTTTTGTGGCACCTACTGTGTTGTTTGTTGAGCACCTACTGTGGGCCAGGCCACCGGCTACGTGTTGAGGCCCCAGCAGTGACCTGGATGGACAGACACCCCCACCCTCAAGCTGTGGTGGAAACAGAGGTAATAAACATAGAAATTATATATGTAAAACATATACTAAAAAACAAACAAAACATATACTAGTATACAGGGTGGGGGAAAAGTAAGTTTAGGGTTGTATGAGAAACAGTTTATTTTTGTATTATTGCTTATTCATTATTGTATTATTTTCCATATGAATAGTTGTAAACCTACTTTTGCTCCACCTGGTACAGTAGGTCCTCAGGTTAGGTCGGAGATCCGTTCCTACGGCGTGACGTAATGCGATTTTCACCGTAAGTCGGAACCCACCTACATAAGCACCTATGTCACTCACATGGAGCACATACACAGCAGTAATGAAGTGAAACAGTAAAACAATTTAAAAGAAAGATAACAATTCCTGACCTTTACTTGTGGTAAATAAATAATAAAAAACATAAAGCACATATGTACATACGTCGAAATGACGGAACTTTTTTTTTTTTAATAAATACTGTAAATGGGAGATGGGGAGGTAACCACGAAACGACGTACGTCGAGTCTGACGTAACCCAAGGACTGTCTGTGTACATAAAATCGGTGCTATGGCCCTGGCAAGTGTGGCTCAGTTGTTTGGACATCGTCCTGTGCACCAAAGGGTTGCCGATTCAATTCCCGGTCAGGGCACATGCCCAGATTTCAGGCTCATCCCTAGTGTGGGGAGATATGAGGGGGAAGCCGATCAATAATGTGCTCTCACATCCTCTCTCTCTAAAAATCAGTAAGCTATCCCAGTGGTCGGAAAACTCATTAGTCAACAGAGCCAAATATCAACAGTACAACGATTGAAATTTCTTTTTTTTTTTTTTAATATATTTTATTGATTTTTTACAGAGAGGAAGGGAGAGAGACAGAGAGTCAGAAACATCGATGAGAGAGAAACATCCACCAGCTGCCTCCTGCACAACCCCCACCGGGAATGCGCCTGCAACCAAGGCACATGCCCCCGACCGGAATTGAACCCGGGACCTTTCAGTCCGCAGGCCGATGCTCCATCCACTGAGCCAAACCGGCTTCGGCTGAAATTTCTTTTGAGAGCCAAATTTTTTAAACTTAAACTATATAGGTAGGTACATTGTTATTAACTTAATTAGGGTACTCCTAAGGCTTAGGAAGAGCCACACTCAAGGGGCCAAAGAGCCGCATGTGGCTCGAGAGCCGCAGTTTGCCAACCA